TGGGTTTCCTTGGGCATAGTTTAAGGGAAAACCTTCTAATTCGCATTAAACACTTAGGGTTTGGTTGTGGGTAGCCGTCCGAACTCCAATTCGAGGGTGAAGTCTAACCATTCCTTAGTCGATAGGTTGAGAGGGTCACATCAGTGGGTTGGATCGTATCCCATTCCTCAACCTAGAGTCTAAGAGGGTAACTTTGGTTGCTTGTTAGACTTCCCTGCGGTTTATGACCCCCTAACCACAGACGGTGGTTCGATTCTTTGAGTTATAATTGTTAGCAAGGGGGAGCAAGACCTGGGCGAAGCTTTCTCAACTAGAGTCAAATCCATTTTATCTTTGCAAAGTAATTTAGTTTTCAACCTTTGTTTTCACCAAAATCGATCCACTAGATAATGTTTCAAACAGTCAAAGTAGCGGTACATGAACCGGCCCGAGCTCGTGAGCAACGCCTAAGGGCTCACCAAGAGAATTTCTGCCTCTATGCCTGATTTGTCGAAATCGCCATCATGAATAGTCCCCAAGATTCTATCATTGGCGGGGGTTGGCTTCGTATGCCTTCGGCGACAAAGTTGATGAGTACCTACGCTTGGATGGCCTTACGGGGCACAAATGTGATGTCGTACTCGCTTAGTGCAATGGCCCAGTTGAACATGTGCTCGGTGACGTCCATCCTTTGTAATAGACACCGGAGAGGCAAGTGCGTTAGCACACAGACAGGATGGGTTTGGAAGTACAGGCATTGCTTCAGGGAGGCAGTGACGATGGCCAAGGCAGCTAGCCCGACAGAAGTGTACCGGTTTCGACATCATAGAGGGTCTTTCTAGTACAGTAAACAAGATGTTCTACATCGAAGGTATCTTTTCGGACTAGGACCACACTCACGGCTTTTGGAGGACATAACAAAGTACAAGTACAGAATTTCATTATTCTCGAGGAGAAGAGTATATGTGGGTTTACAAGATAATTTGTCAGTTCCTCAAACGCCTTATCAGACTCGGGGTTCATGAAAATGTCTTACAAGCCCCTTTCAGGGTGGCAAAAAATGGAGCACAATGATCACCTACCCGGGCAATAAAGCGATTAAGGGCGGCGAGGCATCCGACGAGTACTTGGACCTCCCTATCTTTGGTGGGTGTCGGCATTTAAAGAATGGCATCGATCTGGCTAGGGTTTGCCTTGATACCCCTCTAAGTCGGCATGAAGTCAAGTAATTTTCCTGCGGATGCTCCAAAAACACATTTTTAGGGTTAAGGCGGAGGTCATATAAGTGCATGGTGTTGAACGCCTCCCTCAAATCGTCAAGTTGAGTGCTCATGCCCCGCTCTTTTCCAGGATATCATCAACATATGCTTCAACATTTCTTCCTAGTAGCCGAGCAAACACCCGGCCCACGATGCGTTGGTAGGTTGCTCCAACGTTCTTCAAACCGAAGGGTAGGTGGATCCAACGTTCTTCAGACCGAAGGGCATGACCTCATAGCAGAAATTCTTGACCAAAGTCATGAATGATGTTTTTTTATCCTCTTTCTTCATGGGAATTTGGTGATACTCAGAGAACATATCAAGAAAGGTGAGTAACTGGTGACCGGAGGTAGCATCGATGAGCTGGTCAATCTTCGAGAGAGGATACAGATCCTCTTTCTCAATTCCATATTTTAGAACATCAAAACCATCCCTCACAATATGTAAGCAGAACACCTCATATGAAGAAGTGCCCCATCCCTAATTAGATTAGATAACACCCGCCTTTGTTTAACTAGATTTATCATGGAATCATTGGTAGTACAATTTTCGAGAGTAATTGTTGAAAATGTACTATCAATGTTCCATGATTAGAGGCATTGAGCTAGCTTTCTAGCCAACCTCTCACTAGTGTGTGGGGCAGGGAGATAAGAAAACACAACGAGATGGTTTTGCATCTTCCAAAATTTGGCTATATAATGTGCAGTCATAGCCATGTAAGCCCTTTTTTGGATAGTGGCGGTCCACATGCCAATGGTGACAGCTATCCTACTCCAAACTCTGTTTTGGTCAATGACCTTTTGAATCTTAGACCTCTCTAAACCATAAATAGTAACGATGTCCTTCTTTATGGTATTTTCGGGTTGGGACTTTGAAGAGAGGGTTCAAGGTGCAACAAAACCTTTTGAAGTAAAGGCGGTCAAAAATAGAAAAGTGATACTCATACACTGGAGACCTCCTTTCTAGACACCTCACTGCTAAACTAATTGGTACTCATATCAGTTGTTCCTTTGGCACTGTAGTTAGCCCCAAGGCTTTTTTGACAATCGTCGTGTATTTTTTTTATGAACACTACGATTCCTATGAGTCCTAAGATGGGATGTACCACTACTACACTTTCTCGTCAACACCTTCTTACAGTAGTTGCATTTTGCTTTCAGTACCCCATTGATAAACAATCCAATGAAGTGGACCACACATCAGACTTTAAACATGATAGACCGATAATTACACATGTTTTCACCCCTATTCTGAAGCCGTTTGAGATGTGGATTCTCGTGTTTTAAGCCGATTTCACGCTAGGTTGTGTGTTTATGTCATATTTTAGGACCCGGCGTTGGAATCGAGGCGGAGAAACGAGTTATGGGTCGAAAGGTGCAAAGTTGGGACGAAGGGGGCTGCTGAAGGAAAATACCCGGCCATGACCAATAATACCCGGCCGGGTATTATCATTTTGGGCGCCCTGTGAGAATCAGAGAGGGGCCCGGGCGTGAAGGTAAAATCCCCGGTCGGGGATTATTGAGGCAGACCGGGGATTTTCCCTCTACTGAAGCGCGCGTTTTGAATAATACCCGGTCGATACCCAAAATACCCGACCGGGTATTTCGACCGGGTATCGCGACAGGCAGCCAATTTAAAGGAGAAGAAGGCCAACATTCAAGGGTTCCGAGTTTTAGAGAGACAGAGCAATTCCTAGAGAGAGAAAGCGACGGACCATAGTTCCCAAGTGCCATAGCTTGATCTTCATCACCATTGGAGCCCGGCTTGAGCTTGGAGAAGTGCCGATTAACGTCCAGGAGCAGAAATCCATCTTCACAGTATGATTTCCGCGTCTGAATCTGCTTTTGCTTCTTTCTCTATGGAGTAGTTTCCCCACTCATCTGGGTATGGAGAACCCTAGATTTGTATGCTAGGTCTGATTGTATGAACCCAAGTACAGAGTTTATGAATTGATTATATTCGATTGAGGTTTGAATGATTGAATGACTTGAATCCTGATCAAATTCCTATTGTTTCTGCTTTGACCTAGATGGAGAATATCTGCCTAGGTTAATAGAGTATCCTTAATTGAAGGTAGTGAATTGGTGACTTTAGTCGAGGAGCCAATTCGCTATTCTGTACCGAACTCAATTGCGTAGTGGAGATTTGGTTCGTTAGGGCCTCAATCTGTTTACTCCGGTGGAGGTTAGTCGCCCGCTAGAGACTCAGATTGAGAGGGTCTGGAGACCTTTAGTCGAGACTTCAGACTGTTTAAGAACCTTCCGCAGTATAACTTTCATGAAAACTGAACTTGGTAAATTACGATCCGGCTTAACTGCAGTCTAGGGGGAACCATATCCGGGTGACCTTTCTTGACTTGAAACAACCGTTTAACTTGCTTTGCGTTTTTGTTTGTTTGAATCTGCACTAAAATTTCACTGCTAGATAACGAGAATTCACCCAGTAGTCATCAAATCTAGGACCCGGGTTGACATTAAAACTCAAATCCGCTATACTACGCTTTAGGAAGTGGTTACACTTGGCCATTTTCTAGAGTGACAGTAGGAGTGAGTCAAAACACCTACTAGCACCTAAAGGAGCTTGGGCAAAAACATATTCATGAAGGTTTAGTAGTGAGCAATTTGCTGGATTTGGATTTAGCATTACTAGATTTGGAACTTAGCTACAACAGTGAGCAGTTTAGTAGTTTTGAACTTAGGAGATCTTATGTGTTCAGTTTAGCATAAACAATGTGAGCATTAGCATTTTAGCATTTGGAACTTAGCTACAACAGTGAGCAGTTTAGCAGTTTCAAACTTAGTAGGTCAGATGTGTTCAGTTTAGCATAAACAAAATGAGCATTAACATTTTGGACTTACCTACAACATAATCACATTGACCAGTTTCGAACTTAAGGTGATTAATATACCAACAAACACCATCAAACAAGGATCGAAGAGTTACATCAATAGTTAGCCATTGAAGCACCATTTGAATCTTAGAGATACTCCCCAAAAGAAAGCTGCAAAAACAAAAAATAACATATTAGGATGATTAGGGTTTAACGTTTCTGATGAACTAAGAAATCACCTACACCAAACAATGAAACTAACTAATGTCTACAAAACTTACTGAGAATGATGGAAAGGGGGATTTCGAAATATGGAAGTTTAGGGTTTCTGGATTTAGGGTTCGATGAAATACAAATGAAAAAATGATGAAGTTAGTCAGCTATTTATACACGTATAAGCAAAATTGGATTAAGGAAAGAAAGAATTGAATACTTATCTCGATTTGGGAAAGCAATCGTTTGCATCCAAGATTCGTAGAAGATTTCTATCGATTGAGATATTTTAGGTGACTGCAGGGTTGATTAATGACATAACCTAGGGTTATTGGTGATGTGATCGTCTATTTTTTATGGAAATAGTAGAGAAAGGAGGAGAAATCTTCGGAATAGACGAGGAAGTACAGAAGAACACCAGAGCGATGATAGACAAAGAGTGAGGCGTCAGATTGTGTTTTCTGGAATCCAAAGTCAAGAAGGAACGAGCTAAGCGCTGTGTACCAAGCTCGAGGTGCTTGACGCAAGCCATAGATAGCACGGCAGAGACGACAAACATGAGAAGGATGGAGAGGATGAATAGCTAATTTAGAAGTGTTGTGTTGAAATTTCAATAAAGCTTAAAATTGAGGAGCCTTTCGAACTTTAGTCGTCCTTTGGGGATGCTTTACTAAACTTCGCCTCCGCCTAGTATTTACTTTACTCCACTCGCCCACTCTCTCCCAGTTCCCACTGCTCACCTCACTCACTCTCACTCCCCAACGAAAACACCTGTCCACGCTTTCTTCCCGACACGCCGAATAGACCGCCAGCCACCCACACATATCCAAAGGGCCAAAAGCACCTGCGTCGGCGCCATCATCGCGACAAAACCCCGAGAGCTGCGGTGACTGTGAGCGAAGAAAGAAAGAAAGGAAGCAGGGACCGGAGATATCACATTTATCACCGGCTTCTTCTATTCCTAGCTAGACCCAGGAAGGGAAAGGAACCGCACATTCGGAAAGCAAACCCACGTCTACTAGCTGCTATGGGATCTGGTGCTGGAAGCTTCCTCAAGGTTCTTCTCAAGAACTTTGATGTTCTTGCTGGGTACGCTTCCTCTTCTTCCCCATTTACTGTTTTGCTTCCCAGATTCATTGGATTGCTAGAAAGAGCTCAGAGATTTACTTAACCAGGTTCTGATTCTTAACAAGGGAAATGAAACCCATTTGACTATTATCGGTTTGATTTGTTGTAGGCCTGTTGTCAGTCTCCTTTATCCTCTGTAAGTCATCGTTACTTCTTTCCTTTTCGTGTGAATCTCGATTCCTTTGGTATTTACAAGTTCTGAATCGTTCTTTCATGGGCTGGAGTTGGATAGATGCTGAACATTCCCAAATTTGTCAATCTGTCTGCTTGGAACTGAATTGGGTAGCTTATAATTCTGGGTTTTACGGCCACAGGTACGCTTCGATCCGGGCTATAGAGACCAAATCTCAGAATGATGATCGCCAATGGCTCACCTATTGGGTTCTCTACTCTATGATCACACTCTTGGAGCTCACCTTCGCAAGGGTTATTGAATGGTGACTCATTTTCTTCTTGTCCCTGCAGCTCAGCTCATTTTCACCATAATTGCTCTAATAGAGTAAACATTATGGAACTCTTATATATGTTATGCATTCGTGGTAGTGGTTCTTGTAATTCGTTGTGCTTCTCAGCATCCCCACAAGCTTATCCATACTGAAATCAGATAATTTCTTCTATGCTCATGATAATCAGATAGTCAAATACCGCTACGCATAGCTGAGTGGCTAAGCTTGGTCTTTTAGACTTTTGCCTCTATGTGTCAGTCTTCTGATAAGAGTTATTTATGAATCATGCTATGACTGCCAGGATACCCATCTGGTCCTATGTAAAGCTCATTTTCACTTGCTGGTTGGTGCTACCGTACTTCAGTGGCGCTGCTTATGTTTATGAGCACTTTCTGAGGCCACTCTTCCTCAACCCGCAACAAACCATAAACATATGGTATGTCCCAAGGAAGAAGGACGTGTTCACTGAGAAAGAAGATATCCTGACTGCCGCCGAGAAATACATCCAAGAGCATGGCACAGAGGCGTTTGAGACTCTCATCCACAGGGTATGTAATGCCTTCATAAACTGATAACTCTGATTCTTATGGCAGCTATACATTCAAACGAACTTGTGAAGTGCACAGTTTCTTAGTAGGGTTATACTTTCCATTCTCCAGTGTATGTTGAAGTGACCTTTAACAAGTGTTTCTCTGCGGAGGTGGTTTTTGCAGGATAAATCCAGGAGCACCACCGGTTACTCGATATTCGGCCATCCTGAAGACGACTACAGATATTGATTGTCCAATTTGCACCACCTGATACCCAGACCACGGGAGCTGTTATCAAGCTGTAGTCCAGCTTATTAGGTTTCTTAAATCACTGTGTAAATGTGGTGATTTGGTATTGTAGAGAGTAATTAGCAGCGAACTCTGTGGGTTAAATTATATGACCCTTTGCTTTCCGTATCTGAACCTTGCGCACATAAATCAACTAAGAAGGCAGGGTGCTTGCTTGTCTCGGCCTCCCGACGCACTGTTGTGACCAAGGTTCAACCCGGGTTGGTCCGGATCCCCCCTAAAAAATGGGCCATAGTAACCCTTTTGACTATCAGCCCGGAATTGGTCAAACCCGGCGAAATCCGGGTGGTTCGCCCGTCCAAGTGGGTCAAAGGGTCGCTTCTCTTGAGGTGTCGTTTCAGGCTTTGCGCCGTCGTTTCGCTGGGAGAAGCAGAGCAGGGGTATGGAAACGAAAGAAAACCCTACCTTTTCTTCTCGATCTCCCGCTCTTGCAGCCGCTGTGTCTCCCGCAGCCGCTTGATCCCATCGCCGGGCAAGGGTGTGTAAGGATCGTGCTTAAGGAATCTGGCGATATGGAGATGAAGGAAGGAATGAATGGAAGAATTGGGAGAGAAGATAGAGATTGCGCCGTCGTTTCGCTGGGAGAAGCAGAGCAGGGGTATGGAAACGAAAGAAAACCCTACCTTTTCTTCTCGATCTCCCGCTCTTGCAGCCGCTGTGTCTCCCGCAGCCGCTTGATCCCATCGCCGGGCAAGGGTGTGTAAGGATCGTGCTTAAGGAATCTGGCGATATGGAGATGAAGGAAGGAATGAATGGAAGAATTGGGAGAGAAGATAGAGACTTCTTTTATTGAGCTAACTAATTTGGTAAAGTAACTACTGAGATACAGATTGGACAAAAGATGATCCCGTAGAACTCCAGCTCTCCCTATTTATATCAGCTGCCCTTTACACGTCACGTTGCCAGTTGTATCCCAGTTGTACTGGGTTGTTACAAACCCTTCCCCTTCAGCAACAGCTTGTCCTCAAGCTGTGTTCAAGATGGAAAAGTAGGATGCTGCGCCTTGAAGGAGAGCAAGGCTTCCCAAGTTGCTTCCTCTGGTAGCTGAAGCCTGAAGCTGGGTCAGGGCAGATGAGAAGGTCGCACAATGGCTTGACGCAGCCTTGACTAACAAGGTACTTGATTTGGTCATGGGTACCATCCGAGGTCGCATTAGAGATTGCCCAAGCAGCTTCCTTCCTGATATCGAATTCAGCATTTTGCAAAAGATGGACTAATGGGCCGGTGATATTAGCCTCAATTACACACTGAATCTGCTCCTTGTTACCAGCAGATATGTTTGAGATATTCCAACAAGCTTCCTTCTTGATGCTCTTCTTATAGTTGTTGGTCAGCAAGTTGAGAAGATAAGGAAGTGCTTGATGATTGATGATACACTGAGTTTGCAAATCATCACCAGTGACAATATTTCCAACAGTCCGAAGTGCGGGAATGAGAACAGAAGGAGAAGGGTGCAGCAAGAGTTCAACCCGGCGAGGGCAAAAACCAGCTTCAATGTCAACTTGAATTTTGTCATTGGTACCATCAGATAGATATGAAAGTACCCAACAGGCATCAGTCAATACCTCCTCAGCATTAGAATGAATAAGCCGTGCAAGGGCTGGAAGAGCAGGCTTAACCTGGTCGAATGGAGGCTGTGGCTTCCCACGACAGAAGTTCGACAATGCCCATGTAGCATTTCTAAGCATCGATAATTTTGCATGCTCATTAAGCTGAGCTAGCAGTGGAAGCAAAGCTCCATTGCCAAGCACAAGATCACGGCATCTTGGAGAATCCCCAGCCACATTTCCTAGAGCCCATACAACCTGCTCGCGGACATCATCACTTGGTGAAACCAGAAGCTTTACAAATATCGGCACCGCACCTTGATCAATCACAACTTTAGTATTCTCAGATGTTCCAGAAGCAATATTTGTAAGCGCCCAAGCTGCTTCAAACTGAAGCTGGGGAAAGTCCTCTCTAATTAGAAACTCGACAAATCGTGGAACAACTCCAGCTTGTATGACTTCTTCAATCGGAGGGCTCCGCTCAATCAAGAGCAACTTTCTGAACTGTGTTGTTGCCTCGAGCTGCATAATGCCATCATCAGACCAAACACCAGACACCATAGAAGGCAAATGCTCCAACTTTTCAGATTGTGTTGCCAAGCTCTTAATCAAACCCAGAAGCTGCTTGAACGCCAATGCTTCGTGAGGCCAAGCTGTGTAGGGTCCTCTCAAACTAAGAACAGGGCCTCTCCTCTTACAAACCCAAGAGCAACACATACTGCTTACCACACCAGAATTTGAGGCCTCTCTTGAGTGCACAATGAAATCCCAAGGCCGATACGGACAATCAATTGATTGAAAATCACAATCTTTATAAGGGCATTGGAAATCAGCATGATTCCTACTGCCATGGAAATGCCTAAGGATGCCATAGAAAGTTGGGAAGACGCGAAACTCGTAACACGAATTAGCATTGCCAGACTTGACAGTGCAATCAAAGATCCCAAACACAAACTCAGTAGGAAAAGGATCACCAAACATGAAAGCTGCCTCTTCAACAGTAAGAATCTGATCAATGGCTACGGCAGAAATCATCTTCTGGTTAAGAGTATCAGTGAGATTGAGAACCCCTAAGAAAGAAGCGTTATGTGGAAAGTCTTGGGTGCGAACCCCTGAAGAAGAAGAGACTGGGTTTTTGGCAGTTTGAGAACCACACGAAACTGTCCGAACAAAAGGCAACCGAGTAGAAGGCGTATCCAAAAAATTCAAGCATGGAGCTGGCCCCAGTAAAGGAAACGAGGAAGAAGTGGATTGAGTATGAACCTGGGAGTCTCCCACAAACCCAGTTTGCTCGGAAATCAACAAAGGGAGGAACGACGGCTGCTGAAGCGGATTGCACGCCGCGACGACAGTCAACTGCTCTTGACTCCCAAACCGGAGAAGCAACCCATCGACAAAATCACCCCAAAGCAAAGGAAAACGTCGGAAAGACCAGCCTTCAAACCATGTGTGAGCTCGCCCTTCCAGATAGGAAGAAATCAAATCGACCTTCTGATCATCTGGAATTGAGTAAAGCAGGAAGAGTTCGTTACATTCGCTCACCCACCCATGAGGATCCGAACCAGAGAAATAGGGCAACTCAAGACGATGATAGGGATCCACAATTGACGGCCGACGCGACTGATGCCGAAAGTGTTGATGATCAGGGCGATGATCGTAATTGTTACGCGGCGGTGAGTGAATCGGTGACGTCGCCTGAGTTCGCGTCAAAGAAGCAGTGAAGGTGGGCGAGTCCGATTGCCCGGCGAAGGTGGAAGAAGGCACCCGCTCATGATGATCCAGAATCAACGATCGACGCGGTGGCGAACACAACTGTTGTGGCTCGGCGAACCGAGTGCAACTCGCTTGCCATGGAGAACGGACCGGAGAATTGTCCCGCCGGCTCTCCAACGAAGCAGTCAGGGCGTCGATGCTGGCCTTCGTCGAAGCCGCAAGAGCAGCAATGGTGGTCATCAGATCCTGGTGCCGGGAGTCCATCTGTTGCTTGATGGCCGCCATTTGAGTCTCCAAAACAATGATTCGCGATGTATTAGACGCCATTGTTGCCAGAGGACAGGCTCTGATACCACTTGTAAGGATCGTGCTTAAGGAATCTGGCGATATGGAGATGAAGGAATGAATGGAAGAATTGGGAGAGAAGATAGAGACTTCTTTTATTGAGCTAACTAATTTGGTAAAGTAACTACTGAGATACAGATTGGACAAAAGATGATCCCGTAGAACTCCAGCTCTCCCTATTTATATCAGCTGCCCTTTACACGTCACGTTGCCAGCTGTATCCCAGCTGTACTGGGTTGTTACAGGGTGTTTTCCCTTCATCGGCGGCCGCCGGCAAGAGTGGATATCTATTGTTTGCCACTTTTAGTGTCTGGCGGATTAACTAGTATTGCATTTTTTTTCCTTTTAAGATAAGTATAATATAATGATTTTTTTTCATATTTCCGGACTAAAACGATTTAAAACGGATGATCCATTAACTCTTGATCCACTAGCTCGTCCGGGTCTGGGTCAACCTGCGGGTTGACAACCTTGGTTGTGACATAAATCAAAGTCTTTCAGGTTACAGAATCACAAGGCAAAACTGGACGCCAAACTTTCAGATCACCGTCTTGCTCCTTGAGAAACGAAATGTTAATACATCGCTTATCTGGTCATCCATATATTATGCTGCAGGTTATAGTAACATCAAGGGTAAATATAACAAAAAAAAAAAAAATAAATTAAAAGTACTAATTCTAAACACCACACACTACTTAGTACACCACACCCCGTCAACTCACGCCTAACGTCATCCTCCTCCTTGACGTACACCTTCTCCAAAAACCCGGCGGCGTTGACGCCGACGATCTTCCCCAGCTTCGGCCGCCACTCCGCCAGCATCTGCGGGATCCGGCACCCGACCCGACTGTCCCACACCCTCAGTAGGTCCCCCACCATGTTCGTCTCCGCCGACACTATCACCGCCGGCGACATCGCCGGCGCTGACATCACCGGCGCCGAAACCGCCGCCCCGGGGAAGAGCATCTCGCTCCCTGCCCCGAAGATCGACCGCAGATTCGCCTCTCCCTCCATTCCAAGGCCCAAATTGTCCCAGAGCTTGACCACGCTGCTCGTCGTCCCGTTCGCGAATTTCGGCCAAGAGAAAAAAATCCCCAATGCTGCTGCTCTGCCGCTGGAGCCGCCGCTTGAATTTCAACGACCCCCGCACACTGAAATCTTCATCGCCGTCGGAATCTACTTCTTCCTCTTCAAATTCCTCATCAGTTTCTTCGTCTGAGAACTCGGATTCGGACCCGGATTTAGATTCGGTGTCGTAATCGGACTCTTCCTGGATAAGCAGAGTCGCCGCCGTGGAAATTGGGCGGCTCTGCCGGAACCGAATGAGGAGGATTGTAATTCGGCTGACGATTGTGGTGAAGGAGGCGACTAATAAGGCGACCATTAGAGCGCCCCATTTCCACCGCTGCTAGAGGGTACGTGAACGGAAGCAGCAGAAGGCTCCTCGACCATGGCGGCACCGGCTGCAGACGACTTCATTGAGGCTCCTATGTTGCCTCGCTGCAGCTCGTATCTCTCAAATTCCTAGAGATTCGCAACAATGGTGGTACCAGCTGCGGCCTGCGGACGAGTTGTGGAAATTCATTCCAAGGCTTTCCGCGGACTAAGAGTCTATGCTTCAATTGCTTTTCTTTCTCTCCATCTCGTTTCTTTCTTTCATTAGTACTCCAATTCAATTTGTTTTTTCTAATCTACAAAACACTATAAGACAATGTCAAGATACAGGGTTTGCCAACTCAGCCTATGCTGAAACCGCCGCACACTGCGGAGGGTCATTAGCGTAATTCAATATTCCTTCTCTTCCTCGCGTTCTGTCTTCCAATTTGCTATCTCCCACCAAAAATCAACCGCCTCTCTCTCGCCCTACCCAACACATCCTGTATTCCAATCTCCCACCGAAACTCGAACGCCTACTCTCGCCGTCCCAACACAAGAATCGAAGCCCTCTCAATCTCCCAGTGCCGCCCTGTTAGCATTTCCGGGCTCTAGGCCATTGGTGTTTTGTCGACAAAATTAAAGCTCCTGGGAAACCGCCCTCATCTGTGTGTGTCTCCCACCTGCTAGCTGCCTCTATGTCGCTCTTGACGTCTGTTCCGCTCTGTAGTCTCACTCCGGTGCCGTCCTTTACCCAAATTAAACCATCCCGATAGCCCTCCTCCCTCGCTGCGCAGGGTTGAGAACCTAATCCGAGCTATATCCCCAGTTCATGTAAGTTCACATAGTGAATTTTGGTAATTTTGCTTCTCGGATAATGGGGTTCGATCGATCCAATTGGCAATTGTTATGACATGTTCTATCTCACTATTCCATGCCCATAACTCCTCCTGTCCTGCTCACACCTTGCCTTGGACTTTGCAAGCCAAGCCCTTCACAGCGTAGCCGCGGTGGACCCAAAAAACTGGCCACCATGAGTCGATCAGGTAACTCAATCCTTTAAAACTTTCTGAAATAATAGTTGTTGGGGGTCACTTTTGTCGAGTTTAGGATTTAGGTAATTCAAATTTGATGTTTTTGAGAGTATTGCCAGATTCGGCACATGGTGTGCATGGTGTAATTCACGTCACGGTCAAATGTGGTTAGCGAGCGAATGCTGCAATTTTATGTTACTTTGTGGTGGGTCTGTCTGATGGTAATGTATATTCCAAGGCTGATTCATTCATGCTTTATTACTTAAAAAATAAAGAGTTAATTATCCTGCTTCTTAAACCCATCCTTTGAAATTCATTCAAATTGCAAAGAAACAAAAGGCCACACTTTAAGAACTGCAATTCCTCTGTGTGTTCTCCAGTTGATTCTGGTGCAATATTTAGTCTCCCAAATATGTGATTTCCATTATATATATATTATTTGAATTGAACATAAATGGTAAACATTGTTTAAATGATCAGCTTGGTTTAACTGCGCGCGGAAGTTGTTGAGCATATAGCGTTGTCGAAGTGGAGAAAAAGGAGCAGGTTCGATCAAATCGCTGAAATTGTTTGTTATTATTATATCAAGTAAGATCTATGCTGCCCACACATCTTTTAGCAATTAGCTGTGTATCCAAGGAACTGTTTTTCAATATTACATCTTAACTTATATGATTTGTTGGTGGTCAAGCAATCACAATAATGTATACCAAACTACCGGCAGAGCTTCAACCTTTTACAGGTTTACTAAAGTAACCTATGGCTCAATGTATGACTTAATAATAGCAATAATAGTTTAGCTACCATGCTGGGTTGAAATGGAACTACCACGCCTTCTCTTTGCAGTGGTGTATCAAGTTACTAATGTAGTTTATGTGATAAAACAGTGAGCATTTAGGCAATAAATCAATTTCATTTGCCTATGCGTTACTTAGTTTCAGAACTACGTACTATTTCTATAAAAACAAACCTATGTCATTGCAGCAAATAACGGAGATATGTATACCATATATAACAACCCACAAGATGAATCAAACTTTGAGGAAAACTATTACACTAATCCAAGTCCTCGAGGTCTTGGAGGAAGAAGTACTTTGAAGAAGCATAAAGGATCCAAGTGGTTATCTCTAACACGGAGCAGTACTGCTATGATCATTGGTAGATAGGGTCCAGCTTAGGAACATTGTATTTAGTAGTTTGATTTTCATTTAAGAGATGTTATTGGTTTGCTTACCATTAAAGTTCCAAGTTTTGTTTATTCAAACAACAACTTATTCCTACAATTTATGTGGTTTATTCAAAATAATCCAGTTTCAACTTATGTTGGTTTGCTTTTAAATTAGATTGTAAAAAGTTTTGGTTTGTGTTTATTCAAACAACATTTTATTAGTCATTTTATCTTTCACAAAACTTCGCCGGCCAACGGGCCGGGACCAATGCTAGTGACAATTTGAATGGACAGTGAAGAGAATCATTGATCCTGGGAAAGCTATTTTCAAGTTTTAAGTTGATATTTGTGGTATATCTATTGAGATGTGTTGTTTAATTTTGCTAATTATAGAGTGTATTTGTGGTCATATGTAGTTTGGTGTCAAATGGGGTTGTAGCCTTGTAACAAATTTGTATTTATTTGTTAGTTGTCAGCACCATAAACCTCCTAATATAAATTATAAAAGCAATAAAAACAAACCACAAAACGCATACCAGAAACTTCATAATGTAAACAAAAAATCCCCTAAAACATACTAGAAATCCCATAATGCACAACACAAATATTCTGAAAGCACACCAGAAATATTATAATGCAAACCATAAACAAGGTAAAGCAAACCAGAAACGTCTTGATGCAGACCACAAATATATTAAAACAAACCAAAAACCCCACAAAACAAATCACAAAATTTTCGAAAGCACACCATAAACTTCTTAATGCAAACCATAAACTTCTTAATGCACACCAGAAACCTCCTAATGCATACCACAAATCTCCTAAAACAAACCACAAACCTCACAAAGCAAACCACAACATTTGTGAAAGCAGACCAGAAACCTCCTAATGCAACCCACAAACACAGTAAATCAAACCACAAAAAAGCAAACCATAAACGTCCTAATGCAAACCACAAATATATCAAAACAAACCAGAAACCTCACAATGCAAACCACAGTTTTTGAAAGCAAACCAGAAACTTCTCAATGCAAACCAGAAACACGATAAAGCAAACCACAAAAGGCATAAAAAAATATGTGAAACCAAACCATAAATCTCACAATGTAGACCATAACATCCGATGGTCGTCGACCGTTGACTGGTCAACGAAAACCGTTGACCAAACTCCGATGACCGTCAGTGAGTAGATTCCGGCACCGATAGGCATATTCCGGCCCCAATGACTAGATTCCGATGCCGGTAAGCATATTCCGACCACGGTGAGCATATTCCAGCGACTGTGGCATATTCCGATGACAAAATAGCATATTCCGGCGACAAAAAAGCATATTCCTGCGACCAGATTCCGGCGACCGATGACCGAATTCCGGCGACCAAAATTTTGGGCCGAAAATAAAAAAAATATTTTTTTTATTATTATTTAAACATATTTTTCATAATAAAAATTATACCCCTGCTTTGATTTTACTCTAGGTCAACTCATCTAATAAAAAGTCATCACAACCCTAGCTTCTTATTGGTTGGATACTAGTGTTGTTACAATAACAACACAAGGAGTGTTGTCATAGTATCTAGTCTCTATGCTGCAAAGTGCAGGTACTGCAATAATCATTCCAAATTCCCCTTCTTTAACTCGATGGAGTGCACTTCCAGCTAGGCTGGAAGTTTGGTACTGGTATTTGGGATATACCGAATATCGTACCGAATTTATCTATATTTGGTATACCGAATCCACGTATTATTTTTTGTAATTGTGATTGAATTTCAATTGTTATTCGGTATTAGGGATTACGCAATTGGGATCGGTATATACCGAAATATCGATCAATACCGAAATATAAGCTAATATGCATTTCATCCTCTTAACTAGACTCTCTCATTCACTACTACACGACGCTAAACCACCAAGAGTGTCATTTAATTATACATAGATCATTTTATCACTATTAATAGTCGTCTCTCAACCTCCAATTCGTCAAATTAACGATTACCAATGACAAGAACTTGAGATGTATCCTCTCCTCCATTCTCCTTAATAATATCCTTATTCAAGAAACTTTGCTTAGTCTTTTCCCCCTAAATTAAACAATAAAATCTAATTTATATATTTAATTATTAATTGCAAAGGTAATTAATTTTGTATTCGATAATACCGATTGGGATACCGAAGTACCGATTGGGATACCGAAGTACCGATTGGGATACCGAAATATTTAGGGATTGGGATTGGGATTGACTTTAGGGTGTAATTCGGTATTCGGGATTTCAGTATTTGGTATTGGGATACCGATACCACTGATTTCCACCCGTACTTCCAGCCCACAACGAACTTAAACATCAATCGGAAGGTTGCACCGGGAATGATTTTCATCACTCCATATAAAAGCATAAATCAGAGGATTTGGAAATAGAATTAGTGCTGCAAATGAGCCGAGCTACTTGCAAGCAACTCGAGGCTTGAATCGGGAAAAACTCGTTCGAAACTCGACTCGTTTACTAACGAGCCAAGCTTGAGCATAGCCTTGTTCAGCTCGCGAAGCTCGCGAGCTAGCTCGACTCGGTGGCTTGTTGAGCTCAACTCGTGAGTTGGCTCATTTAGAGCTCATGAGATGTCTCAACATTGTGTCTTGAGGGCCAACTTGATCACCGACTTATGGACGAATCGATCTAATTTGGACTTTCATAATTCATAGAATTGTTAAATTATATATCTCACATCATGTGAAGTTTAACATGTAAGAAAATATGCCTTTTTTTAATTTTTATAAAGAAATTATGTACAAAATTGTTTCGATACTATGAAATAACATGATTTGAACGAGTTAAAATTTATTAACTAAATAATATGACACCTATAAATTATAATATAAGATTAATTAATGTTGAATATTTTATTATTTTTTTAATCGAATCACATGTACCATACACGACATACAAAATGAATGTATCAAATACGATCCAAGAATTTAGTAAACAAGTCTAACTCGAACTCGACTCGACTCGGCTCGTTAATAAATGGCTCGAGCTCGATCTCAGCTCATTTATTAACGAGTCAAGCTCAAACTGGGATAAAAGTCGACTTAGGTTAGCTCATTTGCAACCCTAAATAGAATGAAGAAACTACCATCTCAATTGCATGATAGATTTCGACATCATTGTTTAAAGGATTTCCAGTCCATGGCTAACAGTCCCTATGTTAGAAACTACCATCTCAATTGCATGGTAGATTTGGACATCATTGTTTAAAGGATTTCCGGTCCATGGCTAACAGTCCCTATGTTAGAAACACGTTGCTTTATTATTTGTGATATTGCTAGTAGAAGGGTTAATATCTTAAATTGGTTTGAACTATAATCAAATAATTAATTTTAGCTCGTGGTTTGTGAATTGCTATCCTACTCTCAACTATGGGATAGTTTGGTCCTACTGTAGCTTTTACAGAAACGACTTCTGACTAGAGCTTTTAGAGAAGTACTTACAAAAAAAAAATAGTTGAGTGTTTGACTGCAAAACTATTAGAAGTGTTTTTTAATATAAGAGGGAATGTAAAATTAAATGACAATAAAGGATTTATAATAAAAAATAAAAATTTTAACAATATAAAGTAGTCAAACTGGATCTTGTTGATTTTTTATATTAAATAATATAATTTTATAATCTATTTTATTTTTAAAATAATATAAATGAAAGAAAATTATATTTTCTGAAATGAAATTAAAATACGGTAAGTATAATCTTGTACTTTCAAAACAACTTTTCGTAGAAGCTCCAAATCGCTTCTGCTTTTCTGTTATACAAAAGCACTTTTCAACTATTTAAAAGCCGAGCTTTTGGAGATGTTTGGCCCTGCTTCAACTTCTTAAGCCGAAAAGCACTTCTAAAAGCTGGGCCAAACATAGGCTATACACCATACAGACTGGTTTGGGCGTATGCATATTTTGTCTGTCAATTTGGACGGTCAAAACCGTTGACTAACGGTCAACGATCCAGCTCACTACCACGTCAGTGCCGAATAAAAATAATTTCTAATTTAAAATTATTTTTCATATCTCTAGTTTTCAAAATTATAACAAGGACGTGAAGAATAATTTTAAATTAAAAATTTTTTGGTTGTTATTTTATTATTATAAACATGAGATTATGAAAAGACGCGTCCGTCCAAACTAGTATATATGGAGTATAGTTGAGGCCAGGATAGCAAACTCAAACCACGAAGCAAAGTTTATTATATGGATATAGTTCGATCCTATTTAAGGTATTATCCCTTATTAGAAAGGTAAGGCATAAAATTAGAGTTTCGGTTAAAACACCATTTTTTGAATAGTGACAAGCAGAACAAGGATTGATAAATAGTAGGTCAAGGAGAGGGCCAACT